TCAATTTTATTTTTATTTGGCTAATTAACTAGCATTCTAAATTCTGACTAAGTTGTGCAGCTGCCTATTAAGCTCTATGGAGGGAAGAGATGCCTTTCCCCAAGCCCCGGACCTGCCACAGCCAGGAGAGGGTACTGGTACCCCAGCCTAGTTGGATTTGCAGCTGCTTAGAGCAGGCTGGGTGCTGAGCCCTAGCCCGGACCTGCAGTGGCCGTGGGACAGGTGCCTCTCTCCTGGCCCTAACCCAGTGCCAGACAGACCTGCTAGGGCAGAGATGGGGAATAGGGATATTAAAATTAATCAACTAATTGAATAGTTGATGGAATTTCCATCGATGATTCAATTAGTCAATAAAGGCGCTTCCACTTTGAAATGTAGCAAGAGCCCTTCCAGCAGGTTGAAACATGGAGCCCGGGGCCACCGAAGGATTCCTAGTCCCCCGGCTCCATGTGGTGCTTCTCCTTTGAAATGTCCAGGAGCCCCAGCGGGGACTCTTGTATGTTTCAAAATGGAGCTCTTCTCCTCCCTCCTGTTTGCTGCCCCTTTTTGATAGATGCAGTAAGGTTGGTCGGAAGGGACTAGTTGACTACTCAGTAAGCTTTTTGCTTATCGAATAGTCAATTAGTCACTTACATCTTTACTTTACTTTAATAAACTGTCAGGCAGAAACACTAATTTTAATCTAAAGAAATTCTATTCCAAAAAGTCTGAGGAATCTTCTCCTCCCTCCTGTTTGCTGCCCCTTTTTGATAGATGCAGTAAGGTTGGTCGGAAGGGACTAGTTGACTACTCAGTAAGCTTTTTGCTTATCGAATAGTCAATTAGTCACTTACATCTTTACTTTACTTTAATAAACTGTCAGGCAGAAACACTAATTTTAATCTAAAGAAATTCTATTCCAAAAAGTCTGAGGAAACTATGAAGCAAGTTAAGGGGAGGAAAATCTGCAACATAATTGGTACAATATCTTCTCAGACCCTTTTTAGGGTGAATCACTCAATTTGGCATATATTACTGTGAAGAAAGACAATTGCTAGGTGGTAATTCTATTTGAGTTCTGGCATGTCAATTCAGACACTATGACAAAGATTCCATTAATCATTCCTTTTAAGTTATTGATCTTGCCTTTTGGAGGGAGGAATTCTCAGATAAGAGACTGAAATGTAGGTGGGCACAGTTATCCACATGATCTCTTAAGTATTCAATTTATAGTGCTTTCAGCAATCATAAATTAACATTCAAAAGTAGTTCGAAGAGATTGGTCATTCATAAAAAAATGATGTTAATCCCAAATATGTTACCTAGCAGAAAAAGAATGTGTTAAAGTAAAAGTCCTGAGATGCTATTACATACCTAATCCTTTTTAAAATCAGTCTGTATTTGAGTTCTATAGGGGGGTGAATCATCTTCAGAGAAGAAAAGAGTTTCTTGGTTCCTGACAGAGCACAGTCAAATGAACAGGAAAGATCCCTTTCTTAGTGTCCTTACCAATATTATTTTAATTCTTCAGGTAGCTCTTTTGGAGTCATTGGAGCCATATTAAGGACCCTATCTAAATCTAGAGAAGGTCATACATGCTTTGTGCCTTGAGAGTTCCCCTTTTACTTTTAAGTCTGTAGGGGATAAATAATGCCTAACAATTCCTTCCTCTTCTAACCTCACACATCTCTTAAACTGGGTTCCCCAGTGAAAATTCCTTAACATTAACTTTCTTAATTTTTTATACCTTTGGGGCATTTGGTACTGAAAAGATACATTGCTCCAAGAGAGAGAGGATCTGGTAGACATCATGATGTGTAAGGTAAAGAGAACTAGTATCAACCTGAGGCAGGTAATACCATGTTTGGAGGAAAGATGTTTCAAAGGACAGTTTTATTTTAGGAACACCTACCAAAGATGGTAAGCTGGAGAGGCAAAGTAGAATCTGAAACCCACTTAGGAAGTGAAAGTAGTACATCAGGCAAGAAGTAGCTGGAATGGTATCTGTTGCCAAGCCTAAATGTAGAATAAATATGGCTGCCAATACGTGTGACTGCTAGTAACAGCCATGTCTTGTAGGAGTGATTATGCAGGTTCTCTGAGCACGCTACAACACTGGTTCTTAGCTAGAGGTATGTGTACCCATGGTGCTACACAGGGGTCTTTCAGGGAGTACATAAAGTTATCTAGATATATGCCTAGTTTTACATTAGGCTACATAAAGAGCTAGGGAAGTAAGTAAAAACTAAAATCATAGGGTTGGAAGAGACCTCGGGAGGTCATCAAGTCTAATTCCCTTCAAAAAGCAAGACCAATCCCAAATCATCCCAGACAGGGTTTTGTCAAGCTGGGACTTAAAAACCTCTAGGGATGGAAATTCCATCACCTCCCTAAGTAAGCCATGCCAGTGCTTCACTACCATCCTTATTAAATAGTTTTTCCTAATATCCAACCTAGACATTCCCCACTGCAACTTGAGATGGTTGGTCCTGATTCTGTCACCACTGAGACATACAATGACTTGTTTATATTGCTGTTTGTACTATACATTGAAATTTAAGTATAGCATTTATTTTCCAATTGATTTATTTTATAATTACATGATTAAAATGAGAAAGTAAGCAATTTTTCAGTAATAGTGTATTGTGAAACCATTGTATTCTTTGTCTGATTTTGTAAGCAAGTACTTTTTAATTGGGGGGTATGTAAGACAAAAGAGACTCCTGAAACAGGTGCAGCTGTCTGAAAAGGTTGAGAGTCGCTGCCTTGCAATATCATTAATCACAAAGTAATGTCTTTTCTCTGGGTATCAGCTGACTCTTGAACAAGAGGAAGGAAAATTCCTCGAGAGTATCCCAGAAAGTGCTGTGGGAGAAGGGAGCTGAGTAGGCATTTCCATTTTCTAGACTCCAGAGTTGATGCTCATAAGCATTATTAAGACAAACACTAAAAGTTGCTTCGTATAGGTGCCAACAGGCAGAATATTTTTTGTGGATTTTGTCATGAAAGTAAGATTTACAAATTCATAGTTGCTGTTCATTTCTTGAGATGATGTATGAACAGCTGACTGACTGCATACTTTCAAACAGCTATTCCACCAGAGGATGCATGAAAGAAAATCCCTTATTGATTAGTTAACATTCCTGCCTGAGAGCACAGAAAGAACTGAAAACCCATTAGTCTGAATTGGCATACCAGAGAGTTAAAACTGAAATGGACAACAGAGGTTGTGATGCTCAAAATTTGGAAGTCATTGTTTGTTAATGTCACTGAACTAGAGAACGGAATGCTGTAATCTTTCCTGAAGTTATGCATCAATAAAACCTAAATATTTTAAAGTGTTCAGTTTGGACAATCAGATATGAAACAAATATTTGACTTCATGGAAAGCCTTTTATTTATTCTGTGATTGGTGTAGTCTTAGGTGAGTTAAGGTGCTGATTTGGCATAATACTTATAACTCACTAATATATTTTGGTTTCTCTGTAGGATGGCTGGCTGTGGTGAAATTGATCACACAATCAACATGCTTCCCACTAATAGGAAGACGAATGAGTCCTGTTCCAATGCAACACCTTCCCTGACAGTCCCTGAATGTGCTATCTGTCTGCAAACGTGTGTCCACCCAGTGAGTCTGCCTTGTAAACATGTTTTCTGCTATCTGTGTGTCAAAGGAGCTTCCTGGCTCGGAAAACGATGTGCACTGTGCCGGCAGGAGATTCCTGAGGACTTTCTTGACAAGCCAACCTTACTATCTCCAGAGGAACTAAAAGTGGCAAGCAGAGGCAATGGGGAATATGCTTGGTACTATGAAGGTAGAAATGGTTGGTGGCAATATGATGAACGTACCAGTAGGGAGCTGGAAGATGCCTTTTCCAAAGGTAAAAAGAGCACTGAAATGTTAATTGCTGGGTTTTTGTATGTAGCAGACCTCGAAAACATGGTTCAGTATAGGAGAAATGAGCATGGACGTCGCAGAAAAATAAAACGGGACATAATAGATATACCAAAGAAGGGAGTGGCTGGGCTTAGGTTGGACTGTGACTCTAACACTGTCAATCTAGGAAGAGAGAGCTCTGCTGATGGCGCAGACAGTACATCGGCTCTGGGGGCTGCAGTTGTGCAGCCTCTAGCATCCGTTTCTACTAGACCCCTAACTTCACTAGATGGTCAGCTGACGAGTCCTGCAACACCATCACCTGATGCAAGCACTTCTTTAGAGAACTCTTTTGCCCACTTGCAGATAAATGGAGACAGCATGGCTGAAAGAAGTCATGGGGGAGAGGGAGAGGAAGACCATGAGTCGTCATCATCTGGTAGGGTGCCAGCCCCTGATATCTCCGTTGAGGAAACCGAATCGGATGATAGCAGCGATAGTGAGGATGTGTATGCTCAACTTCAGCAACACATGGCCTCTGCCCAGCAAAGACACTTGAATGTGAATGCAAGCCAATCAGTAATAGAGAGAACAGTGGCAGGGGGAGGGGCAGTAAGCACCAGCGTAAGATCTAGAAGGCCTGACGGACAGTGTACAGTAACTGAAGTTTAGAGCCATGTGTTTTTAAAAACTGAGTCCAGTACCTGTACATTTTCTGTTGATGCTGGCCTTGCACTCACAACTAGCTTTTGAAGTGGTGTAGGGGGGGAGAATGAAGGAGAAAAACAAACTTGGCCTGTTAACTTAAAGTCTCAACATGTCTCAGCTGGAAGACTCTTTAAATGTAAGAAACTGGGGTGTCTTGTTAATGGTTTAAAAGCTACTTAGCAATACCCAGTTTTCTTGAAAATGTCCTTTGTGTTTATTTTGTAGCATTTTACCCTGTGGAGATACTCAGTCCCTTTTTGGCCAATGTATATCCACTGTACAACTCAGAGTGTCTTCATTATCTGACTGTTGCATTAATTGTCTTACTATTTTCTGCATGGATTGATTATGAAAAGAACACTAACAGGATGTTGGGTATGAGCAGGATGCTTAATTTAATGTGAGAAAATGTGAGTTTGAAGTTAAGATGTGTTTTAGTAGACAAAGCAATCATTTTATCTTCCTACAATGGAAATGTAAAAATGCTATTAACTTTTGTTGAGAATTCTTATCTGTACACACACACTACATGCCATTTTCATTGGCTTTGCTGTCTAGTCCTTGTAGTTTGTTTTTGAGGTCTGTCTTGTTTTTGTTACAAAATTTATAATTTAATAAAAACTACACTTTAACAATCTAGGTATCTGCTCAGCTTACTGGCCTCTCTGAGGCTGTTACATGTCTCCTAGTATAGTGCCTGAGCAATCTGCTACCTAAATTCCTCTGCAGATTCAGCTCTTTGGGGCTGCAAGGCTAATGGGAGCAAAAAAACCCTCCCTCAAACAGGCTGATATTCTGACATAGGAAAGCAGATCTGCTGTGTGAGATAATGGCTTTTTGAAACAGCTACTTTTCTACCCATTACTGCAAACACTTAGCCAAGGGAGAAAGATTAACCAACTGAAGCAGTTGTCAAGCTGTGCTGCTGAACGCAAGTTGCTAATTTTTCCTGTGTTTGTTTTCAAAATTACTATGTACAGCTATGAAAAGTGAGCTATCCTAGCCAAGAGGTACCAATTTCATCTTCCTCATCCCCAAATAGTATTTTTGCATAACTCCAACTATATCAGGAGTAAGATATAATGTGGAAGAATTAACTGTATGGAGCAAGTGCATAATTTCCCATTTTGTCAGGAAGAAGGGCTTTGCTTTAGTGTTACAAAAGAGGCAATGCTATGGACAGCCCCAGTGAAGTGGCAGTACTTGCAACAAAAACTCTTGCCTCATTATCAGATTGGCCCAGAGGCCCCACAGCTATTGGGGAATCTTGGAAATGTGTCAAACTCACCACATGCACTTTACTAGTGACAAGGAAATTAAGTGGTCTACGGTTATTTGTGAAGAATAAGACAGGGTAACACAAACTTGAAAATGATCCCAGTGGCAAAGCATGCTATAGATAGATATTTTAAACAATGTGACCATCTGATGCAGTAAAAGATTCTATTCAATGTGTACTGGATGCCACAAGTTTGCAAGACATGGGCCTCATCCCCTGCTGTTGATGGTGCAGCTCTGGAAAACAGGTGACCACACGAGTGAAAACAATGGTTGGCTTGAGCAACCAAACATCAGCTAAAAACAATATCCTAAGATATTCAGTTGGTCTGTTACAACAAATAATGGCCCGGTAGCACTTTAACAAAACATGTAGATAGTATCATGAGCTTCTGTGGGCACAGCCCACTTCTTCAGATGACCAGAGTTACAAGTTTAGGATGTGCACACCCAAATAGGAGAGAGGAAGAGGAGGGAATCAGTAAGTATCTGAAGACTGCTACTGAAGATGTGAACAGCTCTTTATGTAGACTCATATGTTAGGAAGGATACGATCTATTGACTTTGTCTTATCTGCTTCATTTTAACTACTCAATCTTCAGACTCATTTAGATAAAGAATATTGAGAATTCAATGCCACCACTGTTTTCTTCCTCCATTTATGTACATCTTAATAATTAATTTGTATATTGATTGAGTTATGCTTTTTTTTTTAAAAAAAAAAGACCTGGCTTCATCTGAAGACAGCAAAGTTTCCTCACCTTCACACCACTCTAATTTTGTATTGTCTGGTCTTGCAGCTTTGACCAGTTGCAAAGTTGTGTAACTGCATAATTCTATTAGCAATCCTGGGAAATGTGCAGTATTTAGTAATATAAACAAGCTGTAAGTAGCTTAATTTTACAGATTTTCAAAAATAAAAATTGTAATCAAAGTTAAGTTGTTACTTCTAAGCAAGCCAAAAAGCAAAAAGGTAGAATGCCAATAAGAAACACCACTTCCTGTCTTATTTGAAGTGATTTCTGCTAATATTCTTCACTGATAGCCTCACTGATAAAAATCATCACAATTAACATCCTTGTTTGCATTTTTAGCACAGATTGAAGTTATACAATAAATTACTTTGGTGGTGGTCCCAACAAAACTAATTTGAGGTACACTGGCAGCACAAGTGGTAGAGAAGTGCAGTTTGAATAGGCTTTATTTATAGTACAGTCAACCTAGCCCCTTCAAGTAAACAATTCAAAACAAGAATAGTGTCTTCAACCTCCTTCTGAGAGGGTAACAGTTCAGTTTCCAGCAAAGTATTTACCTTTAATTTCACTGATCTCCATTCTACCTGTGATTAGAACAGCAAAGGACCCACGGGGATTTCTCCATCATGGCACACCAACTATAGTTCTATGATATGCAAGCTGGAAATACAGCCGGTCCCCGAGTTATGAGTCTTACAGACCAAACGCTTGGCTGTAACTCAGAAGCCGCTGAGTTACATTGCAACCGTGCTGTTTGTAAGTGCCGGTCGCATTCATAACTCGGAGCCTGCATTTACGACCACTTTGGTCATAAGTAGAGGTGGCCATAAGTTAGGGACCAGCTGTATTAGCACCCAGTTAAATGAACAAATTCTTAAATAGTTCAAATTAACATCTGCTTTAGCAACAGTTTTGTTTGCAAAAGATCAAAACTTTTTTGTGAATTGACAATTAATCATTTGTGTTTTGTGCTTTGAGCCAAGGCCTGCAAATTGGCAGGCGCACCCCAGAGTGTTCCAAAAATGTCCTTCTCTGCTGGTAAGGCAGCTTCAAATTGTAGTTCTCTGCCAGCTGCAATCACCTTTTTCACAGCATGAATCACTTCAGCTGGACCCTTTGTATACTGATTTAGCCACACTTGGGCTTCTTCTAAAGATCTGGTTTCTTCTGAAGACAGCAAAGTTTCCTCAGCCAGTCCAAGCTGTACTGCTCTCTCAGGATCTACTTTAAGAGCACCACTTAGCAGCTTCAGGGCAGGTCCACTGCCAACGATTTGTACGAGCCTGGCAGCTCCACCCCAGCCTGGTACTAAACCCATTTGCTTGTGGACAAACCTAATCTCACTTCCTGGAGTCATTAACCTGTCAGTGGGGGGAAAAAAAGTCAGTGTTAATCTCTATATGCAATTTATATGAACCATATTAGAGTTGACAAACATTTGTAGTTTTTTATCCCAAAAGCAAAGTACAACAGATTAGTGTGCTATTACATACATTGTACAGCCACTTAAGCATCTTGTAGTAGGGATGTAATGGACTAGTTGCTTCCCTCCTCCCACCCCTTTCTGGTGGGGGCAGGGAAGCCAGCTTAAAAGCCAGTTCTCAGCTCCAGCTCTGTGGGAGGGGGCAGAGGTGCAACAGCAGCATTCCACCTTAGAAATGTACAAGAGTACCCTTATCATTCTTCAGGCTCCTCTAACAAGCAGGATCCCCCACTCCTGCACATAGATGCTAACAAAGAAGCAGCTTTCTCCAGTTGTGGCATGTTTACACTAGGAAGTTTTCATGACAAAAATACTGTTGACACACAGTTGCCGAAAAGAAAGCTGCCAAATCATGTATACAGTGCCACCCTCTGTCGACATATTATGGCCACATTATTAGTTCCCTCCTTGACAGAAAGAGCAAAGCACTGCGGGTATGCATGCCACAATGCTTGGCATCACCTTTGATCACTAAGCACCATGGGAATGCTCAACATAATGCATGATATTTTGGGAACGTGAAAAACATCCCGTTGCTGCCTTTTTGCTTTACAGCCTTCCCAGGGATTCACACCATTTCCAAGTGACAGTCCTTGCTTGCTGCACACTCCAGCATCTGCTGTGAGAAATCCTGGAACCCAGACTTTGCTCCTATGCTATATTCTGGGGGTGCTCCGAGGAGGACAGCAGCTTGAGTCATAGCTCCTCCTGACTCCCTGAGAAGACACCATAAGGAACACTCCACAATGAGCGAGCCAGCCAGCAGGAAATGGAGTTTAAAGTTCCTGGGGCATGCAGAGGGGAGGGGCACATTTCAGTTTATCCGGCAAGGATGCAGCCTGCTGTTCAATAAACTTAAAAAAGCCTACTGTAGTACACACACTGCATGATTGTCAACAGTAAGCACAGGGGGAGGTTTATCACTGAAACGGATCATTTTTTGTGATTTTTGTTGTTGCAATATGAATTGTGTCACAAAAAGGAAGGGGGTGGTAGCAATAAAACTTGCTCGTGGAGACTAGTCCTTGCTTTGCACCTATGCTATATAGGTCCTTGACCCCAGAATATAGCATAAGTTAGTTTCCTTCCTCCTCTGTCAGTCAGCCCCACTACTAAAAAGTATGTCCCTCTCTGTTCCGTTCAAGCTGCCCCTGTGTCAATGAGACGCACACTACAAATTTACATCCATGCAGATGTACTGGTCCAGCTGTGCTGCTGAAGCCCGTCAGGTGAACATGCTCTAAGCCAGTGGTCCTAAACGCAAAAATTGATCTCATGCCTAAAAATGTTGCAGTGCAATCAAAGATCTACCTGACACCCAAATACCCTGCCTCCTTTGAGTCCCTTCCCTGAAGCCATGGCCCCTGCTCTCTCCATCCTCCCTCATTTTCATCAGGCTGGGGCAGAGGGTTGAGGTGCAGGCTCTGGTCTTGGATTAAGGAATCTGGAATGTGAGAGGGGCGGTGAGCTTGGGGCAGGCAGTGGGGATGCCAGAGGGGGTTCCAGGTGCAGGCTCTGGCAGGCTGTTTGAGACTAGGACAGGGCTTAGGGTGTAAAAGGGGGGAGTCATGACTGGGTGCTCCAGCTGGGCCCTGCTGACCTCAGGTGGCTCTTGGGTGGTGGTGTAATGGGGCTAAGGCAGGCTCACCCCTTCCCTAGCCCTGCACAGCTCCCAAAAGCAGCCAGCAAACTCCATTCCAAGTCCTGTTGCACTCCCTCTCTGGAGATAGGATACAGTGTGGAAGAGGGGACACCTTGACATCAGTGCCCTTCCTCCGCCCTGCACAGCCAACAGGAGGCTCCTTAGGGGATAGCTCCAAGGCAAAGGGCAGGAGCTGAGCAGCAGTGTGAGGAGGAGCAGCTAAAGTGCTGTCACTTGATGGCCTCTTGGCCAAACCAGTCAGGAACACCTGTCAGAGGCTCCAAGACCTACCAGAAGATTCCGATCTACCGGTTGGTGACCACTGCTCTAAGCTGAGGAGAGAGAGCTCTGCAGTTTGCTTAGTAGCTCCACGGCTGAGACAGGCAGTGGCTATGTCCGTGTGAGAAGCTTGGGGAATACAATTGGCATTAAGGATGTTAAGTAGTGTGTAATTCACTAATCAAATAGTCAATGCATTGACCACTTCATTCGTCAATAGGGCAGTGTTGCCCCTTTGCTGCTTTGCAGTTCCACCATGGCATTTTAGTGTTGCGCAGAGTCCAGGATCAGCTGTGCAGTGCTACCGCTTTGAAACTGATAGATGCAGCAAGGGGGGAGGAGGGAGGGGAAGGAGTGACTAGTCCTTAACATCCCTATTTGGCATTATGATGTTGCAGAGGAGTGTGGATTTTTCGTTTTCCCAAACAACATTTATGCCAAAGTAAGCATGGAGAGGTCCACACTTTTATTTAAGACTATCTAACTTACATTGCTCAGGGAGTGTGAAAAAGTTTGATTCTGTCCACACTAGTGCTGTTGGCAGAAGATGCACTCCCGCCAACACAGCTTCTACTTCTCACAGAGGCAGAATAATTATACTGATGGGCAAGCACACTCCCATTAGGATAGTGCATCTTTACCAGGTACACCACAGCACCGCAGCTGACCCAGTGTACATGTGCCAATGTGCTGTAGTGTACACTTGCCCTACGTGGTAAAGGCCAAACCTCCATTTCTGTGGCTTAAGAACTAGTTTTAATACCTGAATCCTTTGTTCTCTTGTCTGGGAATTTTCCCCTTTCCAAATTTCTGTTCTGTGGAGAAACTGGATTGGCTCTATGCTTCAAGTCATCCCATTTTCCTAACATGCTTTCACTTGAATTGGAGTCATCAAGACTTAAGGACACTCAATTTTTCCTCATCTGGGAAACAGCTCATGTAACCTAGCAGCAGGTGATAACCACTAAGGTTAATTCATTTTGAAGTGGATTAAGCTAAAGCAAAAAGATGCCGAATGAAGAGGCATAAGAATGGCCACGTGAAAAATTAGTGTGGAATAGCTATTCTACAACAGCATCCCTGTGAGGACATGCCCTTATTGGATTTAATTTCTTTCTTGCTGCAAGGCCACATGTCATATGTACATGAGTGAAGAGGGCTAACACTAAAAACATTCATACAAAATTTGTCCTTGCCTCTACAGCTATGACATTCCTCTTGCTGAGAAGTTCTGTTACCTATTATGGCCCAGTGGGTTGGGATTATTCAAACGCTGTGTGAGGTGTTTCTTTTGCCATAGGTGGAGTATTTTTGTGGACCACTCCCAACCCCTGCCAATCCAAAACAGGAGCAGTCTAGCTAAGGACTAAATCTGATTCCCCTGCATCACAGCAAGATACTCTGCTATTAGAATGCCAGTCTGGCTAGTTAAGCACCCCTTTTCACACAGCAGGCCCAGGGAGTATGTTCAGATTCCTGGGGCTATTTACTTACAAAAACAGTTAAAAAACCCCTCTCTCATAACATTACCTACTGCCATGTTCTGAAGCAGTAGCCAATATAGTAGCTACTGCTATAGCAAACTAGCCACATTACTCTGAAAATATCACATGGCTAATATATTGGTTGCCATGAACCTAGAATGTTTTATATGAGATTTCACCTCAGGACAATAAATGAATAATCCACTGATTTTTTTGGAGTCTTTGATAAATTTTGAAGCAGCAGTGTGCAGCAGGAAGCTTGTTCTACAGTAGAAGTATGAAGTACTACAGTAAAATAACTTATCTACTCAGCAAAGCATTTGATCAGCAGTTTGCAGACTTCACCTTGATTTTAATGACAGGTTGAGATGCAGTTAGAATTCAACCTTCTAGGATAAGAGTGTCTCCTTTAAACAGCAAATTGGGATTATTTATTTCTTCTACACCTGCATGATGTAGTGTTCCTTCGGTCTCTGTCTCCTACCTACACTATCAATTTATTTTCCTAGTATTCTGTAAAGAGATTATCTAAACACCCACAAATTTTGCTGAAATTTGACCATATAACCCCACACTATTAATCAAGATTGACCCTGCTTCCCACAACTGCCAACTGCATAAGATTCAGCCTAAAGGAAGTGAGTCACAATTTCACCCACTTTCCAGTTTTAATTGAATAATTAGATAGGTTCCTAAAAGAATACAAGCAGCCCTCATTATACATTCAAATTATGAGCCAATCAACAGCTCCCAGTTAACAACATGTAGCAGGTTTCCAAACTATAACACCGCTATGGATATCTGACAGCCATGACTTCCCTGCTCTTTCCCACAAATGCTCAACTAGATGAATAAACCTCCTACCTCTTCTGTAGTTTGTGTTTTCTGAATAGTGCAGAGAAGAAATAAGAAATCATGCATCACAACAATTGCTGCTTCGCCACAAGGGATGACAGGCAACAAAAAAAGGTCTATTGCAACAAAGTGAGAAATTCTACTGTGAAAATACTGTACTGCTGATACACAAAAGTTTTCTGCTACAGGATTTTGCTGATTATTCAAGAAGGCTGGTATTATTAAACAAACCTACCCTTTATTTTTCTTGAAAATCTTCTGGTTACAAATATTCATTTGGCAGAAAACCACAATGGTAACCACTCAAAGTCAATTATGCCAAAAGCTTAATTTACAAAGATATGTATTTTTAAAAGCCTTCACGGAATTTACCTCCCACAAGGATTTTAGCTGCAAGCAGTTCTACAATCCCGAACGTTGGGTCAACGAACAGAAGATTCTACAAAGTCAGGTTCTCTCCTGCTTGCAATATACAACTCAAAGGTGAGAGCACCTGAAATCTAGAATCTCTACTTCAGAGTCTTGAAAGAAAGGGATGTGTCTCAGCTACTTATTTTAATAAAACAAAATGACAGTGCTGTCTTCCTAAATCCTTTTTAGTGATTAAAATAATAGCAT